GCCATATATTGCTACTATAAATAGATTTAATGACAATAAAAAGATCATGGATCGAAATGAAGTTCAATATTTTTTCATGCATTCGACTCTTTGTGTGCTCCCAAGAAAAGACCATTGTGTGCGTGGCAGCATCTTACAACTTGTAATAAAACGTTGAAAACCATCATAGGATTCAACGTGGTTGATTTTGTTTTTATTTTTATTTTTTTTAAAAGTTTGCAATATGGTTGATTAATTGTCGTCCATATATTAATGATAAATGATTCATTTTTTTTTTGAACAGCAAAAATGATAAATGATTCATTAAAGGAAAACTAATCTTGTTATGAACGAGGATAATTTAATTTGGAAAATATTTTTTGTCTCACCTTTTTGTATAATTTGATGTGTCATTAAAATGATTAATTATTTTAATTTATATAAAACTCGTAATATTAAATGTATCTACTCATTTAATAATATATAAAAATTATATAAAAAAATAAGATAAAAAGATTATCTCTTTAGCACATTCAGAATAACTTATAGTAGTGTTACTTTGCCCGACTCTATTGGCCCCATGATCCCATATCTTGGTAGATTGCACAAAATATTTGTAAATTTATAATACTTTGTAATAGAATTGGATAAATATATAAGTTAGAAATGATGGTAAGAAATTAAAATATTTTAACAATTAAAATATCAAGAATGATAATAAGAAAATTTAAATATTTTTAATAAATTAATTTGTAAAAAATATTACATAATTAAGATATCTACTAGTTTTAACATTTTAAATGTTAGAACACACTTTGATTTTTACATTTATGTAATTAGAATATTAATTTACACTTAATATTATTATTTTAAGAGTTATTCTATCGTATGTCCTTAAAGCACGTTTTAAAAGTGCAATAAATGTATTTTTTAAAAACTAATTTTCATTGAAAATATAAATATTGACTTTGGTTTAATCAATTAATTATTTAAAGTGATCCACATGTTAATAGTTTTAAAATATATGTCAACTTTTATAAATTTTTTATGTAAATTATTTATAAAAATATATATTTATTACATATTTAATTTATATTCTTAGAGTATAAGGTAGACAAATTCTTACTTTAATTCTTAATTTGAACTTATCAGCATGGTGGTGAAGTTAAATTAATAACTACTGGCCGTGGATCTTCCAAAGTTCTTGAAATTAGAAAAAACTGATATTAATTTTCTCCCCTTCTGATTTTTAATAATATGAATGTGCTTCCCTCTAAAGAAAACCCTTGATTCATTCATGCCCTTCATCACTTCAGTGATGATGTTAAAGGTTTGAGACTTTTTGGTAATAGAAAGAATCAGGAAATTCTCTTTGAAACTCAAATTTAAGAACAGAAACGAACTTATCTGTAGAATTAAATCTTTGATGAAAGTGAAAAGGGATCGGCCTGGCATGAACCTGGGGAGAGTGACATGGAAAGAGACATGGATGAAAGATGGAGAAAGGGAAATGAAAAAAAAAAAAAATGGTAAACGTAGAGAGGTTTCCAGGCAGAAAAATACATGCAACCGAACCGAATCCAATGGCCATTTGTATAATTGCATCAAGTTGGCCTTATTATGTTCCCCTCACCCTTCAATTATTATGTGCTGTTTCTTGGAGTTTTGCACTGATGAAATGAAGCTAATTAAGGGTATGTGGTAGGAGTAGAATCACAAGAATAAATGGTATCATATGTTACTTGCGATGTCTAGTTTCCTTCATGTCTCTTTCTATGGAAATTGTCTTGGCACCACCCATGTGATGTGTGTGTGTGTTTCATTTCCAAATGCATGCATTAGGAGAGAGCTCTAATGGTTTAATTTGTTATGTTTAGTCTAAATATTAGAACAGTTTTCTTATTATAAAAATTGGATTTTTTTAACAATTATAAAAATTGAAAATTTAAAGTTAAGTGATTGTAGAATATCCTTCACATTCAATTATTTAATCTATGTTAGATGTAAACACGGGCAACTCATCATTCTCAATGGATGGACAGCTAAGAAAAGTTGGAGCTAGGGTTGTAATCATTAGCCTAGTATGGCTCTCTAAACCAATTGACCTAAACCAACAAGTTTATATGTTAATTGAAAGAACCATAATTGGTGTACATCCGAATTCAATAACTGAGTGTGCACACTTCACATAAAAAAAAAAAAAAGAAAGAAAATGAACCGAGTGTTTATATGGCTCTCTAAACCAATTGACCTAAACCAACAAGTTTATATGTTAATTGAAATGACCATAATTGGTATACATCCGAATTCAATATCTGGGTGTGCACACTTCACATAAAAAAAAAAAATCGAGTGTTTCTCATCTTTTAATATGTGGAGTGTGCATATCCGAGTGTTGGATCTAGATGTGCACACATCATTTTCCTAATTGAAATGACTTAAAGCAAAGTCTCATTTTTTAATTTAGAACAAAAATCACAAGTTTTTGAAAGCTAAAGGTTTTTTTTTTTTTTTTTAAATAGCAATCATTATTTTATTATTGTCAACCGGGACTGTGGCCCAATTGATTGGCCCCCAAGCTTTAAGGCTTGGATGAGGCGGGGGTCAAGACTTCGAGCTCTGCCACCGCGGTGAACTCCACCAACTTGCGACTTAATGGTTACGCGCCTTAAATGAGAGGGTGGAACGTTCACTTTCCTGGAATAATTTCAACTGTTAACAAACTAACTCTACCAACTTCCTAACCATTTACCTGGTCAAAAAAAAAAATCATTATTTTATTATTTGAAGTGCGAAAATGCTCTAACCCTTAAATTAAATCATAATAATAAAGAACACCTGTCACCCTATTTAATAAAGTCCTTTGAGAGCTTGACTTCGATAACTATTTTTCTGATGTGTAATTGGAGTGTTATGATATGTATTATTAAGACTAATTCAATCATATTCAAGCTGAAATACATTTTAGGAGGGACATTCACAAGACAGCATATATGGAGTGCAAGCAACAGGAAAAAGGAAGATTGCCATGTACTCTGCTGAGTAGTCTCCATTGGCGACATTGATTTGTTAGCTGCCTGCAGCACGGGCCTGCCTCACCGACACTACTTTTTTTCCTTTCCTTCTGTGGACAAAACATGACATCTGGGATTTGGAACTTGGGACTCCTTCCACTGTTTTAATTTGTTCTAACACTTTGTATGATCTGTATGCTTCTTCGTGCATCTATACTTTTTCCTTCAGTTATATAGCAGTTCCATTTTGGATTCAAATTAGTAAAAGAAAGAAAAGGGAGGGGAAGGGAAAGGAGGAGAAGACGAGTGAAGGGAAGGAAAAAGTTGATCTTAATTTTGTTTAAATAGACAAAAGTGAAAGAAAGAAAAGAATAATATTTTTATTTAATTAGATAATTTTAAAAAATAAAATAAAATAATAAAATTTTTTAAATTAATTAATTAAATAAATAGTTGAAATAAAATGTTTTTATATATTTATTTTAAAAAAAATTTAAAAACAAAAATAAATCAAACAATATGATCCATTTCAACCTCTGCAAATCGAAAAAATTGAAAACAGACGAGGAAAGAAAATTCATCTCCTTTCCCTCCATTAAAATTATTAATCCAAACAACCAAAAGTACTCGCTCTCTTTCACTCTTGTTTCCTTCTCCTCCAACTTCCTTAAATAGCAAAATTTTACAATTTCCTTTATAAGAGTTAGAAAATTCACAAATAATAACCTTATTATTGTGATTGGACAATGATTGATATACTATCCAATTTAACACCCTTAAAACACTTACTGGTTCAATATCATTAAGAAACTAATATTTTCAAATTTGAATTCAAGACAAGAAAATTTTCAAAGATAAATTTTAATAATTGAATCAATGAATGTAATTAAATCTATTCAATCAGAGGATGTATCAATCATTTTCCATCATGATTTTCTCTCTCAAGATCAAACTTACTCAGCAATGTCTCAATTAGGACACCAATCTGCTAAGGTTATAGAGTATAATCAAATTAACACGCGCGAGCTGCCCCTAATCCACTAAGTTGTTAAAATGTCAATTATTGTCTACCAAATAATACTCCATCTTTTCTTTCCAAGCCATTGCCCATCTTAATTAGAAATCAAATCAATGTAGGTTTGCCATGGACATATGCAGAACAACTATATTTCCCTCCCAATGAATTTGATTCGATTCCAAATTATTAAGACAGCAACGTCGATTGCTTTCAAACAAAATTCCATCATCCAAGCTAAAAGCCAAACTTCTATTATCGTTGACAATGTCCACTTCTTGCATGAGAGAATTAAAACACCCTTTATATAATCAATGCACAGTGTTTCAATGCTTATTGCAACCAATATCATCGATAATTCGGTGAAAGACCATCAGATTCCCTAGTTCCTCCATTTCTCCGATCTCCAAGAACAATGCTTTCTTCTATGGAGATTAATCCGAGTTCTTCATTGGATCATACCCATCTCCCTCCTGGTTTCAGGTTCCACCCATCTGATGAAGAGCTCATAGTCCATTATCTGAAGAAGAAAGTCACTTCAAGTCCTCTCCCTGCTCCTGTCATCGCTGAAATAGATCTATACAAGTATAATCCATGGGAGCTACCAAGTCTGTATATATTGTTCTCAATCAATAATCAATGTTCTATTATATTGTTTTTCTATGAACTTGCTAATTAACAGTAGCTATTTCATGCAGTGAAAGCTGTTTTTGGAGAAGATGAGTGGTACTTTTTCTCCCCAAGAGATAGGAAGTACCCAAATGGAGCAAGGCCTAACAGAGCAGCTGCTTCAGGTTACTGGAAGGCGACTGGAACAGATAAACCTATCCTTGCTTCATGTGGAATGAGTATTGGAGTGAAGAAAGCTCTTGTGTTCTACAAAGGCCGGCCTCCTAAAGGAACAAAGACAGACTGGATCATGCATGAATATAGATTGCTTGATGCCATGATTTTAAGTACTCCCAAGATCAAAGGGTCGATGAGAGTAAGCTTGAAAACTTGATCAACTTTAACCATTCAATATTCTTCTTCTCCAGAGGAGAAGAGGAGGAAAGTATAGAAACTTAACTGGTTGTATATGTTGCAGTTGGATGATTGGGTGCTTTGTCGAGTAAGGCAAAAGATCAACTTCCCTAGGAATGGCTTCAATGATCTGAAGGTTCCAAGTAATGAATTAGATGGCTTCCTCCCAGGATTGAATGAGCTGTGGCCTTCAAATCCTAACCCTGATGTTGAGATGATCAAAAGTTGCCTATACAATGACTGCCCTATGTTGCCTTACATCGTTTCTTCCCATGATCTTATTTGCACTGAAACAAACTCAAGCGTAGGTCTCCCAAGCAGCATGAAATCATGCACTTCTGTCCTCCAGGACAATTCTGATAAGAATCTGCAGCTTCCGATTTCTTTTGAGAATTTCTTTAACCCTTTGAAAAGAAAATTGATGGAGAGAAACCAGGGCAAGAGTTCTATTGTCCTTCCAAGTAAGAAGCTTGTAAATGGAGATACTGTAATGTATTGTAATGACATTAACATCGGTGGAATAGACCATCCTGAGGGCAAAGATTCCATTCCAGAACAATGGAATTCCATCTACCAGCACCAAGAGCTTAATCACCTGGACTTCACAGGAGCCTATCAATAGGGACAACCTATACATGGACATACATAAGGGCTGGTAAAGCTTGCAGATAAAAGTTTCTGAAACAGCAAAAAAGCGATGATATTGTGTGATTATAAGGTAGATAGATGGATCTGATGATTGATTTTCATAATGAATTATCGGTATTACTAGTATGCATTTGACAGTATTGTGCTCCATGGATGTTTGTATATGATTGTTGATATCTAATAACACTGTAAGTGATAAATGGCTGAATGGTCATACAAAAAGCTTATATTAATTATACTGATTTCCTATTTCGTATTATTTCAAATTTTTAATGTAAACTGAAGCTCCTCGTGGAGTTTCAACATTCAAGTGTTAGGGAGAGGTGAAGTCTTATAAGAATAGTGAATTCATTTATATAAATTATGTCCCGTACCCTAAATATTTTGTTGAAACTCATTTCCACTACTCAAAATTCCCTCTCTTTTTTTCAATATTTACTCAAAATTTCAATTTAAATAACTGAAAATTGAAATGCATACTGTGGATTTGAATATTCATCACCCTGCTGGTGAAGCCATTTTTATTCGATATGATCGAAAAGATGACAGGGAATAATCTAATTGACTTTTTTGTTTTTTTAGTCCTAAAAACATAAAATTAATGGGGTTCAAATTAAAGGGGTTCACAGGGATAAAAAGGCAGAGAGAGAATTTATACTCCTTCAAAAGAAAGTAAGATGGTCATCGAGACAAAGAATGACTCATCACCTGTATTATGAGGTAGGAGTGCTGATCATCAAAACAAGGTACAGTTTGTAGGATGATTATTCCAGGACACTGTGACTGGGGCAGTATATCCATGTGCTTTGATGCCGCATATTTCATAATTATGGTCAGTGCTGGTTTGGGGGATTAGATCAATAAGAAATGTCCATTATGCTTTGACATCCGATAATAACATACTATAGGACAAAAATTGCTTATCAACTTTGCAAACGCACAACCACCAAGATTTTGACAACTAATTTGGCTATGTTTGGTACCCTATCCTCTATCGTATCTATACAGCAAAACCCACCAACCATCATCTGACTTTCTTTGGTACAACTTCAAAATTAATATATGCAAGGAACATGGTCATTGAGGTTTGAAGGAGAGATTTCATTGGCTGCCTACTTGCAAGTTGCAAAGCAACGCAATCCTCCTTTATCATGTGGTTATTTGGAATCTAGAAAGTTGCCTTTGGGCAAATTGTCTTCCAACTAGAAGCCATTTCCTGGATAAGTGCTGTTTGGGAAAAAAATTACTAGTTTGCTATTAGAAGTATTAAAGATGAAGAATGCATTTTTACAAATAACCAAGTGCCTCATGATTACAATAACCTGCTAATTTGATAATTTACTTTCTACAGATGTTACGAACAATAATCAGCTATAACCAATTAATCTTTGCAAAATTTGCAAAAATTAATTAGTTATTTATCAAGCTAGCTGGTTAATTTTGGTCATTTCCCCTAAAAGGTAAACCCTAGGTATCGAAACCCAGAAGCACTTTCCAGGGAAGTGCCTCCTAGTTTTCAGGAGAAAATGCCTTCCTCCTGAAACTCTGGCCAACCAAACCTCATAAGCCATTTCTGGACTCTGGAGTTTGGTTTCTGAGGCGCTTATGCCCTAACCAAACACAACCTCAGAGTTTTAGAGACAGAAATCAATCCATCAGTTACTTGAGAATTGAACTTGCCTCTGCATATGTGGCTATTTAGTTACTCATGCTTCAAGCCTCTATAGCATAAAGAAGTCCAATTGAGGGAGTAAGTACCACTTTCAATTAAGGAGATCAAACAATTGCAAGTAGAATAATATACAGACATTACAGACGTCAAATTTGTATGGAAAGACAACTCAATTTTTCCCAATGTCAAGAATGACTTCCAAACGCAAGAAACAACCAAATACAGAACCAAGCACAAAAGCGAGCCCTCAAATGTGAATACAAGGAAAGCCAATAGCAGCACTGGTCAATACATCCAAGTAATTCTTTGCACCACGTCACTTCTTTAGAACACTGTAAATGAAGCACGCTCAGAATGACTTCTTAAAAGTAAACAAAAGGAAATAAGAGCTTAACTGAATTCATCACAAGTGTTTTCAATCAATAGAATTATTAGTAGAGGATATCATTTATAATGTGTTTATTCAAAATAGAGGTCATATTTTCATATGAGAGAGAAGCTTACTTGTACAAGTATGCAGCAATTCCCAAAACTATGCACAACAAAATGATATCAATACAGAAGTTTCTGCTGGACCTTAACTGAAAATGGACCAAAGTTTTATGTCAGATCTAGACAGGAGCAAGCCACAGCAAAAATGTATTTAAATTTATAAACTCAAGGATCAAGGCTCAGTACCTGAGTGACAGTGTCTTTAAGTCTAACATTGGTATTCTTAAGGTCAGCTGCTGCCTTGTCCACCTGTGAGTATATATAAAGAAAATGATATAGGCTATAAACTTTAAGCATCTAGTTTCTAGATTTACAAGGATGTCATGTTGCAAACCTTAGTGTCAATTTCATCCATCAGAGGAACTTGCCTATCCAATTCCTGCAGACAGGCGATACAATTGGTGAGCACGTAAGATGTTCCAAATTATTTCCCAACAAAAAATTTTCAATGAGTTACCAGTTATAATCATACCTCATTCATATCATGAGCCATGTTCTTCAAAGTATCCAAACCTTCAGAAATCATATCCAAACCTTGATCCTACAGGGATGTCAAAATAGATAAGAAAATAGAATGGTCAAAGAATGAGACTATAAAGTCAACAATCACTATCAGCATCATGGCCTATCTTCCTTGCCTGCTTTACTCTTCGCATTTCATACTCCTGTCTAAGTTTACTTGACTGCTCACTTTCTTGAAAGTATTCATCATCAAAGCGTCCATCTATGACAGAATAAAAATATTAGGTTAATAGAGTATAGGACTGCCCAACATGAAGTTACAACGAACAACATGGACTTATAAATTACCTGTGCGCCATCAAAGATAAACAACAACTCTAAAACTTTCCAATACAAAAATTTGATAACCATAAAATTTGTGATGCATTATTGCAGTCAAGCACCCATTGTACAGCACTTTTTGTGCATCACGGGCTTGGTGGGGGTATTTAATAGGATCAAAAGATCACCTGAATCAAATCTGATTTCAGTACGAGAAGCTGAAGCTGTCCAGCCTCCAGTTTGTTTAGGGGCAGCTGCAGTTCCATCAGGTATGGCTTGAATCCTATCTGGCAATGCAAGTACCAGATCATTCCGGGCAGCAAACTCTTCAGGTGAAAGCCCTTTAACCTGCAATAGTCATCCCACAGAAAGTACAAAGAAGTAAGTGGCATACGATGCAGTTGCAGGGTACAGCAAGAAGGCAATTGAACACAACAGTTCACTTGCCAAGTCAAAAGGTATTTCAAATGACCCTTTCTGATGAACTAAAAACCATTATGAGATTTCAGCCAAAAAAAAAAAAAAAAATTCATTCGCTTAAATAAAATTGCAACTTCAGACACACTTTGCCGGTAAAGTTTGCCAGCATTAACAAAGATGAACTGCTTTCAAATGCAAATGCAAGAGTCAGCAAAACCAACAGGCATGTAGTTTAGATCAAATCAAAGATGTCATAAATTCTGACATGATTTTTAAACCCAAAAGGACAATGACTAAGGTATTGTTGCACTCATTAGAAAAGGGAATTTAACCTTCTTTAGAGCCAGTCTCTGCAACTTGGGGACCTCTTCGACCAACCGAGCCTTAATCCGACGGATCTCAGCGTTCAAAGCAACAGCAGATGCCTTATTTTTCTCATTCGACGCAACCTCAGCTTTCTACAAAACAAATTACTCAAAATACGATTCAAATAAGCCAAAATCCCCAATTCTCAGGCAATGCAGAAAGCAAATACAGATTTGGATCTTGAATCTTAGATGCCTAAACAGAAAAGAAACTTAAACAAATAAATCTCCACAAAGTAAGCATGAGGCCACCAATTTTTGACTTGAATTACTTAGGTTCAAGACCAAAACCACTCACAATCATCACGTTTTGACTCCCAATTTTACTTCATTTTCTATTCACAAGTTTTTCATAGCAGCCAAACAGTCGAAGAGTAAGAAACATCAGATTCAAGTTACCTGAAGAGCAGATTCAATGTCGGCTTCAACGACGGCGTAGAGGCGGGCGAATGCATCGTCGCCGGAAACATTCTGATCCCTCTGCTTCTCGACGTCGTATTTGTCGTACTTTTTACAGATAGCATCTACTCTAGTCAATATATCGATCACGCTCATCTTTTACTTCTGATCGTTCAGTCAATAAGCCGGAAGGGAATTCTGGAGAGAAACCGACGGCGGTTTAGTATATTCGTTTCTGCTCCGCCGCGACGGTGGATAGACTGCTTATTTCTTCTGTTTTTTTTCCCTCCGGCTTTTGGTAGCCTCACTACCTGCGGTGTTTTTGGCAATTTCCATTTGAATTTACATTTGCACTTATTGAAAAATAGTTATTTTATTTTTCTATATAATTTTTTATTAGAATATTTTTTTAAGCCTCCCTCGACTGCTCTAGCATCCCAGTTAGCAGTTTAATATAGGTCAAATTTTTTATTTATATTTTATACATTAATTTTGATATTATCAATTTTTTTATAATTTTTGTTACTTGTTAATAATTTTTATAATTTAAAATTTATAAAAAAAATTTAAATTATTAATAAAATTAAAGTACAAATAAAAAATTTAATTGTTAATTTTTCGGTTTTTTATGCATTTTAAACTCTAAAAAATGTTGGCTAAAATAAAAATTTTTAAAGTTGTTGATCATTAATAAAAATTCTCCAGAGTGTTGATTGTTAAAAAAATGCAAGATGCAAATAAAAAACTTAATCTTAAATATAGTACACATTAAAATAAAAGTGTTTGTTTTTTTTTTTTTCAATTTGTGGTCAAATGTTTTTAAATTATTATTATACAATTTTGGTAAGTTTGTATGTAATTAGAGACTATTTTTTAAAATAATTTTAAGAACACACTTTTATAGTGAGTGCCTAAAACTTAAATTTTAAATTTAATCTATTAAAATTATATTTATTTGTTCATAAATTCAACTCTTAAATTTTAAAAAAATATATAATGTGAAAATTATGTATATGAGTTCAATACAAAATTTAAAACGACATTCTTTATATTTAACTCATAAATTTTTTATTTTTATATTCGATATAAAATTTTCCCATTTAATATATAACATTGCAGTACTTCCAAAATCAAAATTGCATTCATTTTAGAAAATAAATATTATATCATCCAAACCAAAAAAATTATCGTATCAAACTATGAATTATGAAACCATAAACTATCTCCTTTCAACTATTACTTCAATTACAAACAAATAAATCAAACAACTTCTCTTTTTTACTTTTTTCCCCAAAAATCAAACAGCTTCTTGATCATGCCTTTCCCTTAGATGGATGTAACCTTAATGTATCTTCTTCTTCTTCTTTTTTTCCTTTTTTTTTTTTGTTTTTAATTTGATCGGCAATGTAACCTCAATGTGTCATGGGCCATGGGTCCCTTCCATTGTTTAGGCCAGTTGTAAATTTGAAGACCTAAGTTTTCAAAACCCAATTTAATTTCATGTCCATTCCATTTGACTGCAATATATTCTTTGATTTTGTATCTAATCTCAAGTTTTTCCTCAACTAATAATTCCAGCTCGACACATTGCATCCCTCTTTGGCTGACAAGCATGTTCCTGCCAGCATTTTGTCATATATTGATGTTCACCACAAACGTGTTAAAAGTAACGTTTTTTTCAACATAAAATTTGGCAAATGGGCCACGCACGCTTCATACAAAGCATCATGCGCCATCTAAAAAATAAAGTAGTAGCTATTAATAATGCTTGAATATTAAGCCATAAAATACCACCGCCGTTAGAAAAATATCCCAATTCACTTTGAATCCATAGGTTATATATACATATATATATTGATAAATTAACTCTTTAATATTGTAAGAATTTAAACTTTTTATTTTGTTTGTTAAAAAAAAAAAAAACTCTTGATTTTGACTTAGAGTTAACAATTTTTAAATATTAATGCATATTAACTCGATCAACTTCTTATTAATAATCTATTGATATTTGTATAGCAAATTCATTTGTTATTCATATCTTATAGTATATTTGATTTAAAGGAAATAAAAGAAAGAAAGGAGAAAAAAATTTTTATTTTATTTTATTTTTTAATTTAATTTAATTATTTATTTAAATGAGGAGAAGAGAGGAAACTCTCCCCTCATGGGTCCCTTCCATTTCTTTCTATCCAAATGTAGAGTTAATAAAACTGTTATTCAAATAAATACTCGTTTTAAAATTTTTAATTAAAAAAAAAGTCAAAATATAACTATTATTATATTAAAAAAGAGAGTAAAATGAAAAAGAAATTAATTTAGTACTAAAAAGATGGGCATTATAGGAGGGAAATAGGACAATGGAACCTAAAGCTTTAAGATTGATATATAAATAATTTTGAAAAGAAAAAGAGTTATATTATGTAATTGGTGAGAAAAATAGAGAAAAATTAAAAGAAAACAAACAGCCTTTCACTTGCCCCCTTAGACCTTAGTTAGGTTGCTCTCAAAGACTTTGGAGGTGATGAAAAGACAAGGGCATGATAATGCTTGGTCAGGGCCATCCCCACTTAAATTTTCTTTCGGTTCGATTTTGATCCTAAACTTCAAATTAGTGATGCCAACCACCAGTCCCCTTGAGTTTACCTTTGCCTGTGTAACAAGACTCTCACAACTTGAGGCGGAATCCTCAGATGCTAGATACCCTCCAACCCCAACTTTCTCAAAAACTTCACCTTTTTGTTGCGAGTCAATTATTTACTTCCAAGCTACCAAGAAGATGCCGTGGGGATCGAACCAACTAGGGTACCACACTACCATCATGGCGTACAGGCCATAAAAGAAAGGACTATTGAATAAAACATGATTTTCTTACAAATTACAGATAATAAAAAAAAAAAAAATCAGGAATAACGTTTGTTGACAATAGACACATGACTATCAAATTATGGAATTTTCAACGCATTTCACCCTAGAATTATATTATGTTTTCAATAAATATTAGTATTTACTTTTCGGATTACAAGTAAACATGCATCATCATTTTAGTTTAGGGGTTCTTTCGTGGGTAAAATTGGTACGTCAAGCCATTGTAATTTGTAAAAGCAAGACGTAAACCACAAAGTAATATTGTATTGTCAATTATCTAACATTATAATATAATTATTATAGCATTGTGGGTAAATTGGCTTGATTTATATAACATTTAACAAAAAAAAAAAACCTATTTAGTTTATAAAATATTAATTATTAGATTAAAAAGGAATTTTGATAATTTTTTATTTTAAATTATATAATAAAAAATATTTTTTTATTAATTAACCACACCTATATACAAGCAATTTAAAATTAAAATCGATTATTTTTAGTTAACGATCTAAATAATTTAGTAATAATTTTTTTAATTAAAAATAAAAAATTTTAAATTCAAATAGTTAGATATGCAGTTGTGATTCAACCAAATAAGAAAGAAATTTTTTATCTTTAGATGGTATTATAGAGATAATTTTTTTATATTATTTTTTTATACAATTATCACATGTCATTAAATAAGTGAATACATTTAATATCATATATTTCATATGTATTAAAAAAATTAATTATTTTAATAATACACTTAAATTATACAAAAAATGAGTTAAAAAAATTATACAAAAATCATTTCTCTTTTTTTTTTAAAAAAAAAAGAAAAAGAAAAAAGAAAGAAAGAAAGAAGATTTACAGTTGGTATCGGTAGCCAGTGGCGGAACCAGCCAATTTTCTCCTCTTATTCCTGCAAGGTGCAGCAAATATACAAAGCACCCAACCGCTTCCTTTCAATTGTCTTTCTTCTTCTCCTTCAAAGAAACCTCCTCTCAATCTCTCTCAAGCTATTCCGCAGCATCTCCTGTTCCTTATACGGCACGGGACTCTCCATCCACTCTTCATCGGCGACCGAGGTATGCTTTTCCGGCGAATCATCGCCGCTAAATTTCATTACCTACATATTAGTCGTGTAAATTTATTTTGTAATCTTGTTTCGACCTGCTTTGATCGCTGATTATGCGATCGATTTCGTGGTCTTATTCTTTGATCTTGTTGTTCATGGTTTTTGATGCTCTCTTTTAGCTTCTGATCATAGCTTTTTGCTTGTTTGGTGCTAAAAATTACCTTTTGTTCATCTTTTTCTTAGCACTGTAATCGCAACCTAACGATTCTGTATGGTTCTCTTTTCTTTCCTTTTCTTTTTCCAAAAAAAAAAAATGAAATCTCAATAGACTACTGTTGGCACTTTTCTGCTCAACTTTTTATTTTTTGCTTTTGGTTTTTAAGTCTGGATTCAGTGAGAAATTTCGAGATATCTGTATATGTTCTAAATTGGATTAGATTGGTTAGAGATTATCAATTTCTAGCAGTATATCTGAGTTTTCCTTTTATCCATGTTTCAAAATTTGGCCTGCAATCTGGCTTTGTGATGATGATTAATGTTCATGGTCATAATCAGCATCGGAATATTCCCTGTTGATGTGTGATGACTGGTGTATTTCTATGTGTTTTTGTACCAGTATCCAACTTGTTTTCCAGCATATATCTATCAAATTTTATGATTTCCATCATCAATTCCTTCGAAGAAGAACATGTTTTAGTAAAGCTAACCTTATAGAGATCTGTCAGCTTCGTTTCATGAAGAGTTTATTCGGTTTATTTATTTATTTATTATTTTTTGTTTTTTATTTTGTTTCATTTATAGTTTCTGTTAAGAGAATTGTCACAAAAGGTCTTTGCTTCCAATAAAAAACCTGTGAAATACAAGCTTTCAGAATTACATCAAAACCACCTTTTTGAATCTTACTTGTTGCCTTTCCACTATGAGCTTTAAGGTTATTTTTCTGTTGTCCAGCTCACTGATAGTATGGTGATGTTTTCATCAGCTTGTCAAAGCATTGGTGTCTGATATTTAAATTGGTTGTCATAAATTGTTTATCTTCCTTGTGTGTCTGCTGTAATGGGATGAGATGTTTTTATTTTAATCATGGTATGAATGCCAAATGACAGTTAATTGTTTTAGTTTCTCATATTCCAATGTTGGTATATATATTAGATAAGCCTCAGCCATAGTAACTGCTGATTCCTTTAGCATTGTTAGCAACTAGGTTTAGATGTTCCTCATGCAGGTTAGGAGCTCAGGTGGTTGATCATTCTTGGGTCAAATAATAAGCTTGTACTTGAGAATAACACTAACTCATATGCAAGTTTTGGAAGACTTACGCATCCTCTTCTGATGGTAAGAAGTTTTGATACTCTCTCTCTCTCTC